AAGGTACGCTTTAAAAGCTCATAGGAGGACTTTCGTCTGATTGGCTAATGCAAATCAATTGCCTGGGTAACTAATTTATACAGTTTAAAGTACTTTTTCAGATCGTAACGTTTATTGGGCTGTGTAAAATTATACTGCAAAGCGAAGGTAACTAAAAATGGTTTCGTTTAAAACTACTTATTAAATAAAATTTTGAGTTTTAGTGTTGAAATTTTGTCGGATCTTGTAGTATATTTGGATTTATCAACGCAAAGTTTCAGTTTATATGTATCTCTAAATTCTTTAATAAGTTTGGTTTTATTGGTAATAAATATCGCATTTATAAATCCTTTAAAAAATTCTGTATTTTGATTGGTTAATTATCACGGGAAATCACGGTTAAATCTACAAAAATTAACCAATCATATGAATGTCTTCCATTTGCATATACTATAATAATAAAATAACATGGTTACAAAATAGAGATTCGAAATTCAGCTTTGCCTCTTTAGAATTCTCTATCAAATATATAGACCTTAACTATTGTTGCAAAATTACATTCTGAACGCATTAGACATTTTTATGATGAGTGTAAACAAAAAAAATGTGTTTTTTAAATTCATTCAGATAGTTTAGATTTTGAATTATAGAATCACATTTTGAGCTATGATACATTTGTTTAATGTTAATAATAATTATAATATATATATATATTGAAAAATTAGGCGGATTATCATTTTTTTAAAAAAATCAGTAATGTAACTTTCACAGCTAATATCTCGTTGAATTTCAAAGCTATTGTCATCATTTAATTAATAAAAGAAAGCTCAGATCTTCAGCTTTCCTTTACCTATTAAATGATAATAATAGCTTTGAAATTCAGCGAGATATTAGCTGTAAAAGATAAGGCATTGATTTTTTTTTAAAATGTTAATCTCCTGATTTCTATTGATGACAGCCCATATTTCAAAAATTTCAAACTATTTACAATTTACATAATATTAATAATTTTTTTAAAAAAATATATAATAAAACAAAAGTTACATCTAATTGTGTTTACTGTCTTTGAATTGAACTTTCAGAATTAACGGTTATATATTTAATTTCCAAGGTATCCTATATTCGATTCAATACTTTCGATATCACTAATATTACTGCAATTTTCAAAGAATTGATGCCATTTGTTGGCTAATGATGGATCGATTGAGTTCAATTTATCTAAAAGTCTTTTTATCTCTAAATTTGCCAAAATTCTTCTTTCCGTTTTTAAACTTCGATTCCTTATGATATAGTTTGAGTTTACAAAATTTGCTCGATCAATTGTTTTTGGAACTTTATCTATTCTGATTTGTTTATTTTCTTGATTTAGGAGCAAATATTCATTTCTGTTTGTTTAATTTTTTGTTGTAGGTACAAATTTTCTTTTCTGATTCGTTTAATTTCTTGATTTTTTTTGATCATATTTTTCTTGAGTTGTGCATTTTCTTTTTTCAATTTATTATACTGCTGGAGAGTAATGTTGATAGTTTCCTTCGGTATATTTTTTGATTTATTAGACTCTTCTTCAGTGTTCACTTTAATAACCAAAATTGAATCATCGTTATCAGCAGCATTGCTTTCATCAGCATTAGAAGCATTATAAAAATTATAAAAAATAAGAGCAAAAAGAGCAAAAATATGAAAAATATAAATAAAAGCTTTGAGGATAAAAATAGTGAAAAAGATATACATTTTGAAATTAGATTCTCAGTAATGTTTCTATCATAATTTAAATACTTTCAACTTCTGCACAGCCTTTAATTCTAAAAGAATTTAAGAGCAGAAATCTTTTTGATCCAAAAAATTTTTACATTTTTCGCAAATGTGCATTATCGTGCAGCATTTTGAGGCTTAGCGCACGTATTAGAACGTGCTTTGTTCTTTAACTGATATTACCAAATTTGAACTTCCTTCTAAAAATAATTCTTTTCAAAAAAATCAATATTACCTCAATGCTTGGTTTCACAAATATGCATTATCCTCGCAGCATTTTTGAGTATTAGAACACTTTGTTCAGATGCTCTATATAGGAGTTTCGAATTTTTAAATTAGTTCGTACGCATAAATAAATAATACCATATCAAAATTTAATTGAGAACTTTTTTTGATTCAAAAAAATTTTTACAACAGTTTTTTGCAAATGTGCACTATCACACAGCAATTTGAGGCTTAGTACGCATACTAGAACCCGCTAGGTAATATAATAATAGTGGATACTGTACTGCTCTAGCAGGTAATGCACTCGAGGATGAATCCGTTAACCATGCTGGTAGTCCTATAGATGGCCGCGACGATCTCAGAACTTGGACTGACTTATGTATCACATGTTCTGGGTGAGATTAGATAGGATTGACATGTACTTGTCT